TTTCAAATTCCAATGAAAGGGTTTAGTTTATTAGACCCGAACTTATTAGGATAAGTAATTAAATTAGATATTGAAAGCTGTCAAAAAAGGTTAAATAATCAACGTATTTTTTTCAATTTAGTTGATTTAAGCGGGCAGTAATAGGGAAATAAATACATTAACTATTTTTAAATGAATGTTCGCATTTAAGAGCATTTTTATGTGTATTCTTCACAGTTTTATCAGTTGTGATAGGCCCCAGTTTAGTCTTTATTCAAATAATTACTGGTGCTGCTAGTAGGTGTTCTCGTGAAATGTCTGCCGTTAAAGGGCTTATCGGCTGGCTTATGGATTTGAGACGACTACATCCGCATCTGACCGGATTTTCCCGCTGCGAGGCTAAATTGCTTGTTAGCAATGAATGAAAATAGAGCTGGAGCCACAGAAGATGAGGCAGCAGCTGCTAACCGAAGCAAAAGCCGGGCATAAATCTCCAATAAATCTTAAATACATATTGCGCCGCCTGTCGGGCTGCGCCAAGGAATGCTTCTGGCCCAAGGAACACATATTATGCGAAAGTATCGCTCAATCGTGCTATCTGCTATCCACTATGGGAGTCCTGCGCCGCTCAACACCTGCCAGCCATTTCTCTTCCGTATCTTTGGGCTGGGCGATGGGGTTTTATTACGATATAATATTTTATTGTGTACCTTCAGATGCTCGGATATTTGGCGCTGCGCTACATTTGAGTTTCAACCCTTTTCGGCCATGGCCAGCTCACTTTTTGCTGGTCCGAGGTCCACAGAATGTGTGAATTTGCCTGAGCCGTTTGTTGTGTTTGTCGCCGGAATTGCTTAGCTGTGCCAATGCGAGCAAACCGGAGGAGTGTGGACTGGGTGAGTTGACCCGGCAGTGGCTTTGGATTTTGGGCTATTTGTGCATTTGACAAAGGTAATAAAAGGGGCCTTTGGCTTTTGAAGCTTCGTCGCCTGCTTGTTGATTTTGTTGCTCTGTTTGTTCGGCTCAAAGCTATAAAATATATACAAATATAAACGGAAAATGTATTTTATTTTTATTTTATTTTTTTTCTGTTTGTTTACCTCATTTTTTGGGCGAGCAAACATGCGCTGGCATTTTCCGTTTCTGTTTGTGTTCTGCGGGCTTAAATGTGTTTGCTTCTAATTAAAATTAAAAGGTTTTTATGGCTGCCAACTGCGTGAAAGATATTAAAAACGTCAAGCGCATAGCTATGACTTAAAGGTTTTAGGTGGTTTTGCGGCACGGCACTCAATGATCCATTAATTTAGCCAGTGAACTCCTCAATCAGCCCCGGAGAAAGTGGAAAAGCTGAGAAAAGCTCATGTGGCACTGGATTCAAGAGGTTGTTGCAGCAACAAGTTGAAGGCACCTTGATTGCAATTAGTAGCATTCTCCGACTTTGTTGCCACCTTAATGAAATGAAAACAAAGTTGGAAAAAAGGTAATGAAACGACGAAGCGAGCAGAAATTCATGCCAAGTCCGCACTTCATGGCAACGCTTTGAGGATGACTCGTTGTCGTTGTCAAGGATCCCTGTCCACAAAGCAAACCTCTTAAGTTGTAAGCTTTGTTTCGCTCTGTGGGATGGGCTAAATATGTTTATACAGCCGCTGTCAGGGATCATCAGCCGTCTTACAAGTATAAAAAATTCAAATGTTGCTTACTTATTTGGACTACTCAGGACTTCAGATAATGTTATCGTGGTCTTAATTAAAACTGTGGAATTGCGGAACAATGCTCGCCTGACCCATTGATTCACTTTTGAACTGAATACTATTTTAATATATTACTTTAACTATCGAATCAAACCCTAAAGTCGCTCGACAGATAAGGCAATCAAATGTCATTCGAAATGCGGGAAATGTGTTTGCACATCTTTCAACGAGAATAATTAATGGCTCATAAACTCAAATACTTTTGTTTAATGACGAAAATGTACTTCAAACGTATGCAAAATAATTGCAGACTCAAAACCAATTGGCCCAGCCTTTAACCCGAAGAATGGTAACCCAAAGAAGGACTTTGCACCATTTAGCCCCCTGCTTAACACTCAATAACAGTATCCTGCGATTTTGATTGCCAGATTCAATTGCCACTTGTTGGTGCAAGTATCACCCGCAGCAGAAGCAATTGCTAAAGTGAAAAGGGTGCGGATGATGCACGCGCAAATGCGCACCCCAAACAAACAAAGTCTGCATCAGATGCCACCCCAAGCAATAATAATGGAATATAAAGTAAACGCTGCTCGCAAATTTCCAATTGAGCGTAATGGCCGATGAGGGGATGGACGACAAGTGGGGCCCTTGGCGCCTCCGTCTCCCAACCAGCGGGGAATTGGTCTTGAGGAGTTTCGAGTCCCCAGCAAATTAAAATTAACGCAGAGTCGGTGGACACCAAGGTAGCAGCAGCAGATGTTGCACTCTTAGCTGGGCGAGTCATAAATTATTCAGGACACTTGTCAGCTCCAACTGGCAAGTGTCCTAACGAGCAACATATGCCGCTGAAGGGGCCTTCAAGCTTAATCCCGGGCAGATATCGGCCGGATATCGGGTTAAATTGCAAATTGAGTCTCTTCACATTTAAGCCTTGACCTTGGCGAATTGGAAAGGCCTGTCGCACGCCTAGTAATCCCCATAAATTTGGTGCGTCTCATTGAACTCGGATTATCGCATTCGCTCAGCAGCAGCAGCAGCAGCAGCGCTTCGCGTTTTTTCCTGTGGCCGTTGTCAGGGGATCCTTTTATTATATTCGGGTGTTGGTAATTAAATTTGTCATCACGCTCAGCTGGCAATTGGTCGTGGGTCAACGGTCATAAAAACTGACGCCCAAAAGTAGGCAACGACAGTCGAAGAGCCAACGAAAGCGAATTTCACCAACGCGGAAGAGCACTCTCTCTCGCCTGCTTTCTCTTCGCCTCATGTTCGCGAGCTGCAGCTTTTGTCCCAAAGCTCGCTTTGCACACGCTAAAGCTCTTCGCGCGATTTCGCTTCGTTTCGTTTCGATTCTGTTTCTGTTGTTTATTTTCTTCGGCGCTGTTAATGATGCGTTAAATTTAAATGGCCATAACAATTAACGGTAATTGCTATTAAAGTTATTGTCTATGAGGATATTTTGAGTTTGAAATATCTGCACAGTTATGAACTCCATTATGCTTACACTAATTGCACCCCTTGCGCTTTTCCCCCTCGATATCTCAGTCGCAACTCGCGGCCCTTGCTTTGGACCAAAAGGTCGCTCGATAAGTGCACTTGTTGCCTTTCAATAAATAATTTTTATTACAGTTTCGGCCAGTTTGAGGTGGCACAAACAACTAATCCCCGCCAACAAGGATTAAATTACCCGGCAATCGAAGTTCGAAACAAAGCGAAACAATTGCACTTTTTCCGGGGAGGTTTGCGTCCTTTGGCAATGTTTATGAAACATTTCCCCCTGCCGCCGAATTCGTCCGAATTCATTTCAATTCGATTGCCCGCCCACGCTGCGTATACGTAACACAATAAATTATCAAGTTATGTACCAAAAAAGTCCGCACGTGGAAGGGCTCGAATTGTGGGAGCAGCTGGGGTGCTCCTCCGCCTCCTGGAGGCTGGCTGCGTCAAAGGTTAGGTTGTGCTTCTGCCCAACTGGAAACACAATAAATACTGCAAGTGGGCGGCGGTTCTGTTTGCTCTTCGATATCAACAAGAAATTCAAATAAATGCATTTTAATGCTGGCATAGCAGCCTTAGCCGAGTGTGGACGCTTTAAAAGCTTTCAAATAGAATAATTTATTTCCCTCTCCCGAGACGATTCCGTAACCTGGGCGGTGGGCGGTGGGCGGTTGGTGGATGTGGGCGTGGGCGTGGGAATGGAAGTGGGCATGGCTGGGCTGAAAGGGGGCGCACCTCTCCATCCAACCATCGATATCGCCGTACATTGATGTGTTAATTGCCGCAATTCCAAGGAGGCCAAGGAAACAGGCAATCACAAAGACCAGGGTTGCCTACAGTTCACAGGATGCACATGTTCATCATCATATTTAGTTTTCGTGTTATTTACTAAGAAATGCATTTTATTAGATAATTAGATTGCGTCGTCAAATAGCCGTCGAAAATGTTGGGATCTTTTTTATATAGTTAAGTGGGTTCTGAAAGGGGCTGACAACCATATAGGCAATTTCCTTGCCTTCCATGCACCATCACCCCCAATAATTCTTACACATTTTGTGTAAAAGTATTTTTCCTTTTCCATTTTTTCTTGCCTCTCTCGCCTTCCTGAAACAATGCATTTTATCTCGGCTCTTACACATTTTATTTTTACTCTTTTCCATTCAGCTTCGACATAAGAACACACACACAGTTGAACGTGAAAACGCACATGGAACCAGAGGCTGAGACGCTTACAAATAGGGTGAACCAGTCTGCAGCTCGTAGGGTTGTTTAATTGGTACAAATGCTCGCTTGATACAAAACAAACAGCATATATAAGTTCTTGCTTTAAAAAATGTTGTAAAAAGAAATGGTAATTAGAGCTGAAAACTAGAATCCACATCTTTGCTAACTGGAATATTTCATTAAATTGGGAATTATTACCCACAATAAAGTTATAAAGTCCAATGCAGAACGATCCCTAGTTGCATTTCACTCTTCCTGTGCAACCCTAAACATGTCTTATAGACAGCCCGCCTGTCGCCCCGGAATTTTCCCGGCACCTTGGGCTCAGAAAGCAAGCCAGTATGCATGTCTAGGCTGGATACGATACCACAACTAAATACTTAATTTTCCTCTTTGCCGTTGTCTTTGATTCTTTTAATTTTCCATAGCATAAGAATCGTTGGATGGGGCCACCAATACACACGTATGCCTTGTCTGGCAGTACTTACGGCCTACGCACGCACACAAGTCCGTCGTGGAGGGGCGGGGGGTGAAAATGGGGGCGGGGCGTGGGGGCGGGCTGTCTGGCCGCCTGGAAGACAGCTGTTCGGAGCTATGGGTTCGATGCGACTGCAGAATAAGTCGGTCTTTCAACGCCAGCGGACGTTGTTTGTGCTTGGTTTCCATCCCCGGGGCATATATTACTCATACGCCGCGTGGCGCGATCAGTGGTGGTGCGGAAGTGAAATTGTTTTGTGATTGAAATGTAAATAAGCAGGGGCTGCCAAAACAAATATCGTGTTTATCATTGAAAATATGTGAAAGTGCAGACCGCTGATTGACGCAGGCATCGGCGAATGCAGTGCAGGCGTGACGTCTCTTTTAATAAATCCGTTTGGAGCGTTTATATGCGTCGAAAATGGGAATTTTCCAATTTAACTGAAAAATCAATTTGAAACAAAACTCTCGAAGGAAACAATTAATGTGCTTTCGCTGCACATTCCGTGTTCGTAAACATTTGGTTTTAGGTTACCAAAAAACACAGTATTTCAAAGTAAATACAAGGAGAGAAGCAAGACATATTGAACTGTTGACAAGGTGCCATCATTTGCACACTGGTTTAGATCGCAAGGAATATGTATAGAAAAATAAATGAGTCTCTAGCTTGGGAAACAACGTTTTTAAAATATTTTTATTTGATCAATAATCTGCAGAAAAATAACAAGTTTTAGCATTGGAAATGCTCAAGAAAGCCGATCGCCGACCTCTTCTTTTGAACTGAAACTCTTTGTGTATTGACCGGTTCGATTGTTTAGTCAGATGTTTTAAATAAATTACACATGCTACTGGGTAAACAAACATTCGGCATTGGAACAACTCAAGCAATAAGACATTAAAGACTATCGGAAATCGTTTTGAATTTCTCAAATTAACTGAGCGATAAAACAATTTCATTTTTTCAGTCCACCCACGCCATTAAAATGCAGCCGAATGTTTTCAAAATGCTTAAATTCTTGTTTGACACATTTTGACATAATATTTCAAAAGCGAGACACTTTCAGTGCCTAATGAATGATTTATAGAGTGGGCTCGGTTCCGAAATTCGGAAATATTTATTTGGCATAATTCTTGGGGCCACGGCCAGTGCAACGTGTAGCTGTTCAATTCAGATTTTCCCCGAATTTCACTCGATTTCCATTTGCCCAATGCTAATGTAGAAATCGCAGAAAGCCCCCGAAGGGCAGCCAGGTAGTTTTTATCTCCAGACCGCCCCAAATGAGCTCACATTTAATACGTGGTCGGCGGTAAACACGCACACATATCGTATCTGCCTACATGTCTAATAGGAAATTGGCCAGAAGCGGCCCACTATTTGAGTTCCTATCGTAACACTAGAATGCCCGGACTTGTATAAAATAAACAGGCGAAGGTACGATAAATTGAGGCAAACTTATTTGTGTGTGTGCCCGGGCAGCAAAAGTACAAGAACACACAAATATCGAACACAATGGAAACAATAATGTGCGAAACGATTGGAAATGCGCCACAGTCGCTGACGCTGTCTCCGCCGACGTGGCCCTCTCTGTCTCTGTCGCTGTCCCTGTCTCTGTCTCTCCGTCTATATCTCTATATCTCTGCCCAGTCCGGTCAGCGTCCGATTCTCAGCCAGAAGCAGCCGGCTAGCCGGAGGGCCAACAACAAGTCGCAGGCGCGAAAGGCAATCGATTGGAATTATCGAAATAATCGCCTCGAATTTGAGATCCTAAAGGGATCATTTTTCTAGTAGCCCCAGTTGGTTAGTTTGAAAGTCAAGTCAAATTGCGTCAGTAAATGCGTAAAGTTTCAAAACCGAGTCAGCGAACCTTCCCCAACTGAATATAATTTAATTGCTGTGTTAGTTAGTAAGAGTTTTAAGTGCGTACTATGAAACGCATCGCAATAGAATACCACAGTTTATCGGACATAAATAAGGAAATCTGTTTCTCGTCGATAAACACTATAATATTATCGAGTCGGGGTAATAACAATTACCTTTTCAATTCTGCGCTCATCTCTATGATTCAAAGTTAATGATTGTGCACCCTAACGATACAAATTTTTCCTTTATTTTGTGTTCCAGCACTGCGGCAAACATGTTAGTTCTACGAAAATGCCTTCGCTTGGCATCCGCGCAGGTGACAAGTGTTAAAGTGCAATGTGCTAATTATGTCACACGGGGCGTATGCGTGCTGTTGAAAGCCAATTGCAAGTGAAAGCCAAAGTAAAAGGCGCGAACGGGTAGCGGAAAATCGAATCGAGAAAGAAGGTGGCGAAGGAACAGGCCTAAACGACCACTCAATACTTGTTGAATTATTAGCCGAGTGTGTGTGAGTGCGGTTGTGGAAGCAAACAACAAATGTCAACTGCCAATGCCCCGAGTGTGTAAAAGGAAATATGTGAAAGATACAGCGGAATCAGGGGACAAACGAAAATGAAGTGTCAGCGTTCTGGGATGAAATTATCAATTGGTCAAGCTGCTGCTGAAATGTGATTTATCCACCCGCCGCTGCTGAGGTGTTTTCCGAGTGTTAGCCGTGTGTGCGTGTAGACAACAAAGGGAAATAATGTCATGCATTGGCTCGACGGAATTTCTTTGGATGACAATTTAATTAGCGGACGCGCCAGCGGCAGCAACGGCGACAACAGCGACGGCAATCAGCGGAAATCAACGCAGTCGAGCTCATCGCCCACCAAAGCAAGTAGGTTGCACCTATGTACTATATTCCGACCACCGTGCCACACGCCACACACCACACCACAGCGCCGCAGTATGTACACCCCACCGCCCACGAGCTTTAATTTGCTGCCGTGAGCCACCCGAGCGTGTTTATTTGGCTTAGAGCGAGAGGCAAGCGCAAACTATCCATGTAATCCACATCCCCAAGGAGTGCCAGTTGGAGACTGGTTACCCCTAAGTTTTCGAACGCTAGTTGAGAGTCCCCAAATTAAAATATGGTGCACTGATAGTGGATCAAACGCAAGCCTTAGTGATAATACATGTTTATCCAAAGGGGAAGCGCAATTTATGAGGCAAAATGCAGCTTAATTAAACAAAACAAATAATCATAATCAAACAATAGGATCATTCAGTTATTTTAGTCAGCATAAACCGAGAGTACTTGATTTTCAAAAAATTAATCAATGCTACTTTTATTTAATCAGTTTTTTATGGTCATTGAGAATGACTTTATGCTTTTCCACTGATAATTGCGTTCGCTTATAAAAGCCTAACTTTTTTTACCTAATTGTACGAATAATGTAATGAACATAATTCGTTTGGGAAAATATGAAATTCAGCAGTAATCGAAAAATGGAATTATTTTGTTTTATTTTTTCAGTTTTGTTGTTTTTTTTTATGTGCCAAACAGTTTATTGTGCAGCTATTGCTAAAAAGACCTGCAGGGAGCAAAACGCCGCAAGAAAAATACGAACGTATTTATGGGTCAATCGAGAAGCGCACTATCGGAAAATAAATTCCAATTAGGCCGTAAAATATACTTGAAAACGATTTTACCCAATTACCCGATTTACTCAACCCCCATCCATCAGCGGGGTTCCAGCCAAATTCGTCTTTCGCAAAAATGAGGTTCGAGCAGAGTGGCGGGCAAAATGGATTGTATTCAATTTTAATTGGCCAGCAAATTATTCCAGCTGAAGCCCCCGACCGTGTGTTTATCCGCGGGCTGCTCGTAATTCAGATTCAATTATTAAAAACATATTCATCATTTAGTCCGAGCAATTAGCAATGAATGAAAGCCAAATAGAAGAATCGTTTGTACATCATTCCGTTTCGGCTCTACGCGTATGTAGCTCATTGAACTTGTTTGTGGGTGTCTTTAAAATTATATCCAATGAATCGATTCCCAAGCAAACTTGTGTCGGCAATTAAAGCCGTCTCGCTTCCGTTACCTTGATCGTTCATCGATCATCCGCCAGGAATCGCAGCATCGCCTCGAGTTTTCCGCCCAGTGCTTAGCCAGTTTTCCGAAAGCCTTCAATTAGCGCAACCGAATCGTGTGGAACCAATTCGAATTGCTTGACGCATTGATTTTATTTTGGAAATAATTCGCAGCAAACAAATCGAAAAGTGTTGGTCGCTGTAAGTCTCAGCACATATGGTAATTTGATTTGTAATTTATTGTTTACAAATTCCTGCTGCTTTCATTTAATTTCGTATCGCAGCGGCTCCTTGCCACGTCCAACATTAAAACTTGTGGCATGTTGGTATAAATAGACCCGCCTCTCTCACCTTTTTGGAACGACTGCGGATGACCCAGTAAATCGACGAAGCAGCATTTTTGTCAGCACAAGAGTCTGAGAAATGCACATTAGCTGGTCGGATTTATTAGAAACAAATTGCTTTTGTGATATATACCAATAGAAGAACATTTTAATAAAGTTACCACATTCCTTCTTATGACAGAGGAACTCATTTAATTGTACTGACATAGGCTTTAATCTCTTTTGGTTTTGATATTTTGATGTTACAAAATGTGTTGTAGTGCAGGAGTTGAGTTTCTGCCCCAAAATATATCATTATAAGTCTAAGGATTTGGCTGGCTGTCTGGCTTAGTATTTGAAGGCTCCAACTGGTCATTAAAATATGTTTATTTATTGGATTCACATAAGCCTCTTAGGTCCGCGGAAGGACCCACAAAGTTAAAACACAATGGCCCATGAAAATAAATCTGTTTTGCCCCTTTTCGCACTCAGCGAGTTAGAAAATTCATACATTGGCCTTTATAAACTTTAACACAACTTGCAGTCGGCATTATGTGTGTTTATGAAATCGTTCCTAGTGGGTCGGTAGATCGTCTGTGCGTCCGTTTGTCCGGCAAAAAAGTGACCCACACACATGCGTACTTTTGTATCCACGGGAAGCACACTGCCCCATAATAGATCCATAAACTGCAACAGGCGGCGGCAGAAATAGACAGAAACTTGTTCATTTTGCTTATTTGTCAGCGCGTTTGCTGTGCATTTTGTTTACTCGCCCCAGGCTCACGCACCATTTCTTTTCTCTCTCTGTATATCGGCGAGTTCCCCTATTTCCTTACATTTTTCCATTCTTTTTGGAGTTGTCTAGCCGCCACAGTGCTGATCTATTATACGCTGCCGGGAAGATTTTCAAATTAATTCCATTCTAGCTTATAGTTAAAATTTTTTTGCGACCTATGAAACGGCTCGCATAAATCAATTTCATTAGATGCAGATAAACACGCCTTGTTGATGCTGGAAATAATGCAAATAATTATAGTTCTAGACTCTATATGGGTTATAAATATCATTATCTTTTTATATACACGATTATAAAAAAAAGTAACGGTATCTATTTTTGAATTGTAATGTTGATTTTTACTTGAATTCTTTAAAACGCTGTTACTAATAGAGGTATCAAATATGACGGCGAACTGGTGCATTCTAATTAGGCTGTTAGTATATAAATCTTTCAACAGATCGGCCGACATTAAATTAAATTCGAATTTCACCTACTAAAATCTTATTGAGGCTTAAGGCATTTTTGCAAGCACAATCAATCCAACATTGGCATATAAAACTTGGGAAGAGCAATCCATTCCACTGCCTGTGAATATATTTACGAGACCCACTGTCGCAGACGGTTTAGCAGCTCACGCACATTCTGGCAGTTTATTGGCATGCCGTATGCTGGCCCGCTCGGATGCACCGCCCCCCTTTCCCGTTAGCCGCCCCTGCCCCCACCGCACGCATACATAGGAAGAACAACAAATAAACTGAGGCTACGCAAAATATTTAACACGAAAAGGCAGAATACACAAAATTCAATGGTGGAGCCAAGTGGTTGCAGTTCCCAGTCGCGTGCCTCGCCGGCCACATCGTATCTGAATTGAATCTGAATCCGTTGGAAAGAAGAAAGTATCTTGTATCCACAGCCGTGCGTATCTCTTTGTCACCTCCACGAACGCGTATATATGCACTACTCGGGCAACTCTTACAGATATACGAATGTGTTCAAAAGTGCACCTATAAAATCTCAAATTTGCTCAAGTGGCCAAAATGAGTTTGCATATATCAAATTAGGATTTTACCGTGCGCCTGGTAAATTGTGAATTGTGTGTTCATAAATTTACTCCCAAAATAGCGTTCACAAGAGCTCGCACAAATATTGATGAGTTCTTACTACGATACTGAGTAAGTGTATAGCGAGATCAACTCACTCCTCCTCTGTTTATACAAAATGTATATTTTGGCTAAAAGCGAAAGATGTAACATTTGCGGACTTCTCAGATTCAATCATAACTTGCGAGTTTGTTTTCTTTCAATTGCCATCTTGTGAATGGAATTAAAACGTGCCTGCAGTATCTTTCGGGAATCTTTCGTGAACCTTTCACCTTGATAAATTTACGACCCCAGCCATAAATTAGTTAAAAAGATGTATATAGTCCCTTACATGGGGTCCTGTGTGCCAGTTATGCAATGGACAAAGAAAGTCCTTTCAATGGTGCCGTAGAGAACTGAAAACCCCCCAGAGGGTGGGGGGATGAAGACGGGGGAGGCCGTCAAGAAGCGAGGCTGAATTGTAACACATGTAAATATTAATGAAGGATAACAATGTGTACTTGACAACTTAATCGATAAATCAATTGCCATGCCAGATAGTGCTTCACCCCTTTTCAATAAAAATGTGTGCTCCGCTACAGTTTTTGTCTGGCCCTTTGTGGCTGCTTCCCAAGGAGGTTGGGTTCGGTGCGTGTGTAGCATACATCCTGGGGCTGGTACATTGTGTAACCGTCCAGACATCGTCGCCGCAAAGCCGTAAAGAACGGAATGTCATTGAACATCTAGATATTAAAACGGGAATCAGTATTCCACACGACATCGCGACGAACCCAAGATATTAAAGGTGCCACAAAGCGTATTCAAAGTGACAAAAGCCGTAACATAAGTGTATTTTCACGAATGGGGGGAAACCATCTAATTCTGTTTGTTGCAAATTAAAATTAAATGCTTGCTGCTAACTTATATAGAGTTTTAGCAACAATATCGGGGCCCAATCTAAATATTATAAATCTACCAACTATTTTGCACAAAATGAGCGTCTTTTTGTGCGTTCTTCCCTCTTATGCCTAATAAAGAATTTCCAATGGAATGGAGTTCTAATAAAATACCTACTTAGATATGTTTCCCTGTCGGATTGATGGGGGTCAATTACAATTACGAATTACTTGCCTGATGCATCACTTTTCCAATGTGTTTGCACCATACCAGTCAGATTTTCAGTGCGCTTACACACGGCTCTTGCCTAAATAAACACGCTCTCAGCTATTTGTAAACAAAGCCAACCCGCAAAGTCAAGCAGATCCAAAATAAAAACGCAAAAGCAAATGAGTGAATACACACCACACAACAACAAAATCCAATAAGCGAGAAAATAATTTTCCATATTCATTATTACGATTTGTCTTTTCCACTTTGTTTCATTCTTTTACCTCCGCCCCTTTTACTTTCTGTGTTGTTTCGGTTTTGTGTACATGTTTTTGTTTTACTTTATGTGTATTTTGTTCTTTGTTTGTTGGTTTTTCTTTCACATGCGGGAAAACTAATGCACGACTATGCTCCGAGAACGAAGACGTCATGCACACTATAAGCTAAACAGCAGGTAAACTTTACTACATTTTCCTTTCTTACTAGCCGTAAGCTCTAGAATTAAGTTTATGTCCCAAACCCCAAGGGGCGGCGTGTCTCTTTCAAAAGCGATCGCAATATAAGAGAAAAAGCTGTGCGCAAAGGCTTTTATGAAGGGGTAGTATGCATTGAAGCTTAAATGATCAGTGAAAGCTCATTTAAGAGGATATGCTTTTAGTACGGTATTTTATAGGAAATTATTTGTTCCTCGAGAAAGCTGTATTGCTTATCTACATTCCATTTCACAGAAGTTGGGGAACGTCCTCTACGGTGAAAACCTGAATGCAAATGATTGCTAGCTCTATTAACTTATCTGACTTGAGCACAAGCATAATAATATCTAATGCATGGCCACCATTAGAAATCGTTGTATCTTGGGGTCCATAAATTTTAGTCGCATTCCCGACCGTTGAGGTACTTTCTTAGCTTACGCAAACTATTGGTTAGGCAAACAAATCGCAGAATTTAAAAGTCCAAGATTAAACTGTCGCCGTCAAATTTATGTCAAAATAAACAATAGGTACCGCGGCGGTAAATGACAGCGGCGATTAGCCTTAAAACAAATTGGCACGAGTTAGACAGAGCTGCGGGCTTCATAAATGATATTTATGCCTCTGCTGCGCAAAGTTAACCTTTGCTAATTTTCTAATTGGCTGATAAATAAGCGGATTCACACATATTTTTCATACACCGAAATATTATTTATTGACAGTGGTGGCCAGCATATGAACTTTACATAATGAATAAAAAGCAGAGAGTGGGACTTATTTTTAAAATCTTGTGCGTAGAGCAGCACACATAGTCGTATCTATAGATTTCAAAGATTTAATGGGATCCTCCAATGTGTGGGTGCCAGAGATGGTTTTATTTGGGTGGTCAATGTCGCGACATATTTCAATTGGGGGAGGGGCCGTTAATTCATTCCATACGTATCCCAATAAAATAGCTGTTTATTTAATTGAAAATGCGGTTATTGTTAATTTACTCTATCATCTGCTGCTTACCAAAGAAATAAATTAATTTCTTCTACTCTCGGTTACAACATTGCCAATCCGCAAAACCCAAACCAAATACGGCACGGAATGCGATTAAGGGCTTGATTAATTTCCATTTATATCCTATGTTGTTAATACCGATGCTTGTCCCCACAAAAAAATGGCTGCAACGGAAATTTCATTCAACAAATAAATTTGCGAGTAAATATAGTCAGTGAGCTGCAAAAAAATATATAAATAATATTGGCATAATTAGATGGATAATTGATTATGCAAGCAATACGTATTATTTTTATTTTTTAGTTTAGACTCTACTTATGAAAAAGCCTTAAATATTTGTATTACTTTTACGGTTAGTTTACGTGAATTGCAATTTTAATATTTTTTTCATAAAAGAATAGATGTCAAGTGCACTTGCGAAATTCGTCAATAATTGTGGTTACTTTTTCACAATAATAACTAGAAATCCTTTTAGTTATTTAAGCTTTAGTAAAGTATGACATTACCATTAAAAAATGCATTGTTTTTATTTATAATTACTTTCAATAAAAAGGCTTAAATTAGTTAACTATAAAATTGATTTAAGCATATTATGATTGCGCCATAAAAATGCTAAATTAGGTGCTAGACTTTGTTTAAATTAATTTTTCGATACAAAAATGTGGCGCACCATGAACTAGATTTAGTTGTTGAAAATCAGTGAGGCTAAAGAGCATCTAAAGTTCGTTGTCCTTGGCATTTGGTGCCCCCAGCTTTCTGCGCTCTTTATTCACGGGGCTTTTGTTAATCATATAAACGATTCTCGACACAGCATGCGTACATTTCATTGAGAACGATGATTTGTTGTTCCTTCGATTTACTCGCCGAATTTGCTTTATGAAACTTTTTTGCTGTGCTCGCTTTTCGTTTTCGTTTTCATTTTTAATTTTTCTTTTAATTTGTATAAAAACTGATGCAGACAAAGCTTGTTGCTCTTGGCGGCAGCGTTCAATGCCAGTCGTCGGCGTTTGTTGTTCTAGTCGCCTTGTTTTTTGGCCAAAACTGATCTCTCCTAACTGTCAGTTTTCGGTTTACAGTCGACTCGTGCGGTTTTGCTACTGTGAAATTGTCTTCTTTTCGGCCATTTCTCATATTGTCACGCGGCTGATTGTTAACAGAACCCATAATTAATTACTGAAATTGATGTGAAGTCGCTGAAAATGGTGCGCCAGTGAGATTTTCGTCGATGATTGCGTAAACTTGGGAATACCCCGAATAGTGTGCTTACCTAGTGGCGAGTGTGGTTAGATCTATTTAATAAATGAAAGGCGCTAAGACAACGAGAACACAATATGAAAGGAGCAAGAGCAAGAGCAACAAACGCTCGGAAAAGTCGGCCAAGTAAGCGAAACGCTGCCTCGCTTTCCAGTTCAAATTTCCCTTCCATTTGGATTTCCCTTTCGCGATGCCTCGCCAAATGCACTTTGAATTCGGGCACGGACATCTGGCCCTCGAATTTATTAAAAGTCATTAACATTTTTCTAATTTTCGTGGTCGTAAAATAAACAATATTCGCTATGGCCAGCCGAGCTAAAAATAATTCCAGTTTGTTTATCATCGGTTCGTGTACATTGTCCAACATGATTTTACACTACAAAGTTGTATACAAAGTTCCCAAAAATGTTTACTCATGCAAATCTATCTGCAATCTGTGTATTTTCCTTAGTGCCGTGTATAGTAGACTTCAATAAAACTGCCATTGTTTGCTTTGCTATCGATCATCAGTTTATCGATTTTATTGTTTGGTATATTTAGGGGCTAACAAGACGGTAAAAAGCGGTTTCTCTAGGGAAAGTTCTAAAAAATAGAATACAGAAACTAGGGCTGGGGAAACAGCAAAACAAAAATCGTTGAACCGAAATTTCCAGGAACTGAACCAATTTGCAGTTTACCAGTTTAAAAAGATAACATAGAAAATATAAAATGACAAAAAATATCAGGTCGACTTAATCAAATTTTAAAGATACTGGAATAATAGGAAAATGAGTGTGCCGAAATTTATACACATGATATCAGGTTTTGCACCTAATATACTTTTGGTAACAGCTATTTGTTCTTATAAATTTAATTAATTCTATAAAAACGGAATGTATGCTTCAATTTAAAATGCAATTTAATTAATTTTGGTATATAATCAAATTTAATAACAAATCGGAAGTGAGGCATACACCGTTAAATGGATTATGGCTATGGCTAGTTAAGAAAGTGGGACTTATTTATTTTATACTTTCCCTCAATACAATATTTAAGAAAACGGCGCAAGGGATTAAAGTTATGAAATAAATTAAGTAAATAATTGAATAACATTTACGTCCGTTTAAAAAATAATTACTAAGAAAATGACTTAAAAAATACAACAAGAGTGAACGCTATAGTCTAGTCTTTCGACTATCAGATACCTGTTAGTCAGCTAGACGATGTACAAGGGAAATTGATTGATTATATAATATTATAAATATTATATTTAAAATCTTAATCACCTTAAAATCGTAATTTAAAAAATAACACTTGTAGAGGGTATGCTACAATTTGTTGGTGTTTTGCTAAATGTTAAATGAATAGGTATTTAGTGCCAACGAAAAAACTTAACCATGTCTTCTTAGCAAAACCTTTTTTCAAAAGCATGGGCGTTACTCTTTTTGGCATTTTGAAAAGGCTAGAAGGTCGTGGGAATGGATCTATTTTGGTTTTGTAGTTACCGGAAACTTGTTGAATTTGAAGTGCTTAAACGTATATTCAATATTTTTGTCGTCAACTCGTGTCGCAATTAAAATAAACCTAAAGATTGTACGTGCAAATATACCGTAAAAATGTGGTTTTAAATAGGCGTGTTTTAAAAATATGTCACCACATATGTACACCTGAATGTAAAATGAACATACATTTGGGCTGACTAAAGATGTATATTAGCGCCTAAAGGCCTGCTACACATTGGTGGACAGTTTGAAGATCTTCGAAAGAGCACTGAATACTATTCAGTGTTCGAAAAAGTATTTAAAATGAATACTCATTTTCAATTAGGCGGAAAAAATGACACCTGTCTGAGTTGAGAACGGCGGCTAAATATTTGAAGTCAAAAATTCTGACGCCTTATAAATACGCGGCGATGTTTTCAGATCTACGCATTCCACAATTTGTTTGGGAGACAGTCGCCCAGACGAGATATGTACGTTGAAATATATGTAAGCATTTTTGTTCATAAATATTTTTTATGCAAGATGGCTCTAAGAGCTGAGGTCTCTGAAGCGATCGGCAGTTTGTCAAAAGTTCTCAGCGCAGACAGCAGTGTCATATCGCTTGGTATAAAAAACGTAAGTTATGGAAAATCTGCACAGAATCCCATTTTTATGGATCATTTGGGATTTGAATACATCTTTTAAATGCCTAATTTGATTTGCAGAGGGTAGGAAGTGCGTTAAATAGTTCAGGGAAACTTTGGAATACTCTTTTTGAAGATTTCCGTGCATATTTATTTTCTCAACAAATTCGGGTAAAAAATTCCCTTACGAATTTACGTAAGTCAACAGCCGTTGATTGGATATAATAATTTATTTATGCTTCATAGATGTAATTTATAGCTCGCTGTGCTTATTTTCCTCTTCCCTGGTGTTTTTTCTCTAGCAGCACTTTGAAGCGCTCCAAATCGGTGATATATTTATATTTATTTTTTCTACAACGCCGCTTTTTATTATTATTTATTTATGCGTGGCGAGTGTTGAAAGGCCGCGGCCAAATAGTCGAAGAGAACGTCCAACAATTGGTACCAATGCTGGACCTATCTGGTTCAGTTGACTTACAGCATTCGTTGAAGAACGACCCACATTTTTGGGGATTTAGATACTTTTGTTAAGCCAAGTTGGGAAAGCGTTTGGAATGTTGATTGGCTGCCGTTCGCCGTGGCAACCAATAAGCACTCGAAGGCAATGATAATCCTTAGTTAAACCACCCAAAGGCATCTTAAGCATATTTACTAAATTCATTTTAATCCTTTCAGATTGGACAGAAAGTCTTCGCGGGGCATGATATACGAAAATGAGGAGCTCAGGCTGCGCACCATTAACATTAATGCAGAAGTGGAACGAGGTAGGCCAAATACGATAATAGCTGATCAAAAGCTGTTCAGAAAGCTGTTCAGAAAGCTGGCCATACAATTTGAAATACCGCAGCACACAGGAAATCAAATAATCGTAAAATAAATGGCCCAAAAACAACCTGATAACAGCCAATTAAAAAGACATTAGATGGTGGCTAGGAAACCAAAATAATCCTACATAATATAGCCAAAGAAATATCTATACACGCACCTACTCGTACATAAATATCTGCCCACCTCCTCGTGTATGTGTGTCGGAATATTCATTAAAAATGTTTTCATTGCCAAAACAGAAGATAAGCGAATGTAAACAATGCGATTTGAGGTGTCTAATGGTCTGACAGCTCTGCGTGATGTCCACGTGCTGTTCCTTAGACTTCGGCAAATTCTATTGAGTGTTTCCTGCCCATTCTGCATTCCTCAATAAGTAAAACTTATACTTCCTCCATTTTCCAGGGCAATCGGACATCAAGCGCTTGCGGCGGGAGAATGAGCAACTGCGTCGGGAAATCTGGACTTTGCGGGACGAGTGCGACCGGCTAAACAAGCGCTTCAAGGCGAAGCTCAACGAGCACGAGTTTGGTGGTTGCAGGGGCAGCGGGGGCAGTGGCGGCACATGCCACGCCTACCGCTGCAGCGGCGGAGGCGGTGGGCGTGGGAGCGGAGGTTGTGATGTAAACAGTGATGTAAGTGCCATCAGCATTGGTTGCAATTTCCTTTAAAACTCTAACAATCGTAATCCTTTTTCAAATATGATTCCCTTTCTGCTCAGGACTCTGACTCATGTGATACGTGTCGCGGGGCAGACGACGGCCACTGCAGCGACGAGTGCTGCAAAGAGGGTGGATCCTGTGCCCCGCCAAAGCCGCCACTTCCGCCGGAGGTGCCCAGCCACCCATCCCAATCCAAAAACGAGGATGGCAACGGTGCCACCCAGAGCAAGGAGCCGCAGCCCATGCACTTCGATCACCTCTCGGTGGTCTCCGAGGAGACCCTGAGCAACCCGGAGCTTATGCTCGTCCAGCAGCAGGAGCACCTGACGATATTCCCCCCACCAGACGCCCACGGATCGCAAAGCACGCTGCCCAGCTTGATGGGACCGCTCACCCCGCTGACGCCCATCGAACTGGTGGCCAATCAGCTGAACGACCTGCAGGCGATGGTGCCACCATTGTCCTACTTTGAGAACATCCTTTCGCAGCATATGGGCGCACGAAATGCGGGTGAGTAAGCCCATAATATTTCCACGAATCTCCTTTTAAATTCTGCCACAATAGATAGATTAGATAAATAGATTTCCAACCAATTAAGTTGGATTATTAAGAAAAAGAGTAGTAGTATCAAACATGAATACGAAGGCGTCTTAAATAAATGTATTTACACAGGCAATCCATAATGAAAGCTGAACTACTGAATCTAACTGAAATACTTGCAGCACAAACGCCCTCCCCGGAGTTGGGAACCAGTTCGAGCACCACCACCGGCAAGACGATGCGGCACACGAACGGCTGGGACTACAACCTGCAGTCGCCCTTCACGCAGCGCAAGTACAACGAGCAGTCGTCGCCGTCCCGCTCGCCACCACCACCCGTGAGCACGATGACCACATTTGTGCCCACGTCCACCCTGCAGACGATGCCGAAGATCGCCCTGAACGCCCCGCCACAGCCACAGCCACCTCTGCCGGATGGTGGCGACATCGAGACGGTGGCCATCACCACGAATGCCGCGCAGCATGCGCTCAACAGTCCGAAGCACTTCTTTGCGCCGATCAAGCCGCGTTTGAAGCTCAACACCAAGCTGGCCAATCAGGGACAGGATCTCGAGCCGGACGATCTGCCGCCGGGATCACCGCCGCCGCCCTTGCGAGATCCGCCGGATATCTTCGTGAATAACGCCCTGGCCTCGCCCTATCAACGCCAAGTGTCCCCACAAGTAAGTCCTCGTCACCGACGGTCGACTCACTCGCATTGCCACGCCCACAGCCACCAGCGCAGCCGCCAACGCGAACGCGAACGCGAACGCCAACGCCCACAGCCCAGCCACTGCTCCCTGCATCGGGCGGTGGTGGACGTGGCCGCTGCCGTGGGCTTGGGGGAAGTGGGTCCGCATCCGGGGTCCAGTGTCCTGGACATATACACCGCTGCTCTGGCGGCTGCCGCTGCCGCCAGGTGCTCTCCGCTTCTGGCGGCCAGATCCGCCGAACCCATCTACGCTACAGCACAAAAGCCCGGTCAGAATACGTGCATCTCTGCCAGGTCTGTCACACAGCCGGTGATGACCATCACCACCCAATCCACCAAGGCCACCACCACTAGGTGGCCTTCGCCCCAAAGATTGGCGAAGGTCGTTGGCGAGGCCAAGAGGGCGGCCAAGTCCGCGGAGAACGTCAGTCAGGTGAGGGATCCTCTGGCCATCAGACGATCATCCTCCTGTCATAGCCATCTCCGGCCTGCTCATCACTGTCCGGCTTAGAATCTGTGTTTAGTTTTATTACTTTCGGGTGACTTAAGAGCTCAATCCCGTTTCTTTGTCAAGATTCACTAATCAACATTCCACTCTTGTTTATCGTTTATCCAGTTTATTTATTTTTTAATTTTATTTGTAAATATTATTCAAAGATCACCATTTATTGAGGAAGTTTGGATTTGTTGGTTTATTGAGTGTTATTATTCAGTGTTATGTATTTATTATATATTGGTTTAGTGTAGCATTCATCCAGCACCTTTAAAACTGGTAATAAATTGGCTGAATCTGGCTTAGAGTAAATCAATTTTCCTCCTACCCCATGAGCTTTTATTCCTAAGAACATATCTAATGATGGAACATTCGAACTAGAACGGTGTAAAATACACTATTCGTAGTCTCCCATTTTGTTTAAGATTAAATCGATCACCGTTTGTGTTTAATTAAGCTCCTTGTAAACATTGGCCTTAGAATTTGGGATAAGAACCGATTTGTAGTTGTGGAACATAGGATAATATATATTACCATATTATATTAGCTTCGAAATTGGGAAATCATAACCCTCTCCCCTTGCCTTGGCATATTTGAGTAAAAAAATGTTTTCAATGATTTTGCCTAAATGCAGAGACTCATATGCATACAAAAACTAATTGCTCCAATTTATCCGCAGACGGATTCGGTGAACTTGGAGTCAATTCTGAACGACATCGAGACGATTTCGGAGGATATACTGGCCATTCAGCTCGAGAAGAGCAAGTCTAGGGACAACCTAAGCCACAATAATAACAAGGACAATGAAAGTGCGAAGAAACCCTATCGCTCCGAAATGAACCTGTATCTGCAGTATGACGGCACAAATCCCACCATTTCACCCGCCACCACGGACACCCAGAGAACGGAAATGGGAACAAACACATCGGCGGTGACCACGTCCAGCGAATCGGGAAACAGTGGGAGCAGTAAATTAGTGCGACGCACCCGATCCTTGGAGAGGGAGCACACCGACAGCCCTGCACCGCACATTCCGGACCCCATGGCACCGTTTCCCGACAAGTGCACCTACCTGGGATTCGAGCAGCTGAACCAGGCGGCGGGTGGTGCCGGGGTGCCTCCTCAATCGCCGAATGGCCATCGGCCTCCCATCGCAGCCAAGCCGAATGTGCCGCTGAAACCGCCGCCCCCACTACCACCCGCCCGCAGGCCAACCATGCCCACGGAACCACCGCCCCCGCCTCCAACCACTTCCGCCTCTGGCGTAATCGGTCTGCCGCCCAACAAGAGTCACCTGTACAAGACCCTCGCCTCGGCGGCTGCCAAGAGAGCCATCTTCCGCTCATCCCCGTCGCAGTTAACCAGGTCCCTGGACGTGGAACCCACTGCATCGGATGGGGAGGCGGGCGTGGCAGGTGACCAGGCAGCTGCTGCAAATGTGAGTAAAATGTGATAGTAATATGATAATATACTATACAAAAATTATGCCTTCAATGATGAATATTAACGCAATATTTTCGTTCCATGCGGAGCAAACACCATTTTAACTTTATTAAAAGAAATCTTATCCGATTACCGTATTCCGATATACCGTATTTAATATATTGCTCATACTTTAATTATTTGTATTAACAGATACTATTATTGCTTTAGAGTATATTGCCTTATAGAATGCTTTACACAAAACCATATGCAATATGTATATATCACACTCCTATCATTTTTATGGCACTTTATGACTTTAAGACTATTTACTGAACTAAACTCTCGAAACCCTTTCAGTTGGATGAGCTGGCGCGGCGGAAGGCTCGCCGCGTGTCCATCGTTTGTGGATCCGGACAGGGCGGCCAGCAGGACGAGGTGGCCACGCCCGTGACTACCGTGCCCATGGCTACTGCCAGTTGTGTGGACCTGAGCACGGTGCTCACTCACCCGACCATCAAGGCTTTCAAGATGAGCCACAGCACCCCCAACTCGCCGTATTCCTCGCGTCGTCGCACCAACAGCAACTCGATGGCAGCTCCACCGGGAACACCGGTGGGCGGCGGACACCCCGAAGTAGGCGCTACTGCATCGGCACCGCCCAGCACCACCCACCATCACCACCATCGCAAGGAGAGCAGTGATCCGGTTCCCATGACGGCCACTGTTAGTCGCACCAAGTGCTCCAGGCGGCACTCCGAGGGCACCGTTCACACCGTCCACCGGAACAGCGCCGCCAGCGCAGGCGGAGGCGGAGGAGGTGGTCACCACCATCACAGCCACAGCCACCACCACCCGCACAGCGGCATGGTGATCAGCAGCAACCCGCACCACAGCCACCATTCCCACCAGGACAGCAACCACGAGACGGTCACCTCGCTGTCCGATCGCAACTCCAACAGCTTCGCCTCCTCGCGCGAGTCCTCCACCAGCTTCAGCATGCGATCCAATCGCCGGAAGATCTCGGTCAGCTCGCACACGGGCGGCAAGATCCCGTGGTGCGGCTGCTGGGGCAATGGATGCCTCTAGATTGGGTGGAGGTATAATCAGCTGCCGTCCAGGAACAAAACTCAGTGTAGTTCACTCAGCTTTCAGAAGCAATCAAAATGAAATTGGATAAATAGGATAAATAGCTTACAAACAATTAGCCAAAATCAAAACAAATGCCTGTCACAGTCGATAAATAAGGCAAGTGCCAATGGCAGTTGAATATTGCTTTGAAAGTGGTTTTCCAATTATTTAAAAATTATTTGCTGATAAGTATTGAATTTTAAGAATCATAACTCAGTGACATTTGAAGTTTATATTATAGTTTCAATTTTATTATTTGGGGTTGAATTTAAACTACTGTTTGCCTCGGCTGACTTTATTCGATTTGATTACGGAATTGTTATAAATTCGTAGCCTTAAAAAATATGTGCGACTGCAGCTAAGTGAATTATACTGAATTCCACAGAGGAGTGTACATTTATAAATCTTCATAATCCACTTTAGGTGTTTGTATATGGTTAAGTAAGGTTAGATTGCTTAACAAAAGCGGAGCAGCATTTTGTTTCTAGAGACTAAGTACAAAACCCATTTTAAAAAGTTATTCATTTAACCAAAGCAAGTCAAAGTCAACCTCGATTTTTGTTGTACATATTTTGTTAAAAACAATTAAATTGTAGCATTTAAATGTTGGTCTCGAAAAGAAGTCATGTAAATTCTACAAAGTTATGTTATAATTGTTGCTGAATTCGGAGAGAATGCAAATCAGAAATATAAAATAGAAAATTATTTGTGGCCTCTTTGTGGTCTGAATGAATAAAAATGTCTAAGATGGGAAAGTTGCAGCATATTGTTAGGTAATTTCTGTGGCACTTATCGCTTAATTATGCATCTTAAGCTTTAATTATTTTGGGATAACTGACTTGTTATCGGCTATATTCCTACATTTGAGTTCCCGCGTCAGAACTTTTCCAGCAAAATTTAATTTCACGCTTGTTACCCGCTCTAAAGTTGCACTCGCCGCGTGGATCCGGTGACTTTAACGCCGGAGAGGAACGAGGATGAAAGGACACAACTGGTGGCTGGCAGGAAACGTTGGCTGCAACTGCAGCTGAAATTGCGCAACAAGCGATATATACAATATGCAAATTAGCCGCAAATTAAGGTGTAAAAATGCATGACACACAAAACGCCTCTAGGATATATGCAGGAAACAAATTAAATTTTCTCCGTGTACCGGTGCAAATTGCGGTTGCAGTGCAAGCCGTGAAGGTGATGGGAGTGTGGAAAAAAAGGAAATAAAAAGCCAGGTCAGAGGCCACCGCAGTGCGCCAGAAAATATTACCCAGCCGTGGGCGAGAGACAGTATATTGTATGTCCGAAGGACACTGGTCTTCATCACTGGCCAGCTGCCAATCAATTGTGCGGCACTTGAATTCATTTTAGAAATAACAGAGCTTATTGCTTCTTCGCCTAATTGATTGGCCGCCAAGTTCTTGCCAGATTGCCGCGAGTTTTATTTTATTGCATTGTGTTTGTCTTGGCCATTAACTGCTGCCAGATGCAGCCCACTCCCTATGGTCATCTCCGAAGTACATGAGAAATCAACTTGTAATTATACACGAGTTGGTTTAATTTCCAATGGAAAGCCATATGCCCCAAAATAAGTCTTTATGCCCCTATAAGATAATATTGTAAATGACAAAAAAGAAAAAAATTACTTGCCCCAGGTGAGGCTCGAACTCACGACCTTAAGATTATGAGACTTACGCGCTGCCAACTGCGCCACCGAGGCTTCGGAATGACTCACGTCAATGGAGTATCATATCGAGACATAGGACAGACTGGCTTAATTCTGGTGCTCCAAATTAGAAAAATAATATTTATAGCATTTATCTCCATTATTTGTAGATTTTAAGGTTACACTAGGTTCGTTGAAAATGTTGTAACATATGCCATATATCCCTACCACTAGCCAATTCGATCTGTCCATGTCCTTTTGTCCGTTAGTCCATAAAATCTAAAATACTATGATGAAGCGCACATATTGCAAGTTTATTTCAGAAGATTGCCACCCCCAACTAACGCCCACAAACCGTTTAATTGATTTTTTTTTAAATTTACTATTTTAATTTAATAATTTGTAATGATAGTCCAACAAAATTTATAAATTTCTTCCTGGCACGTTCTGCAGCTGCCCGAGGAAATCGACTGTCATCAAATATCGACTTTTACCAATTTTGTTAGCAACTGTTAGCTCTTTGCAGTTAGTTTGAGTAACAAATATTCGCTTAAATGCCACTTTTTATATTGTGTGCAATTTGTAATTGATTTGAAGCTTGGGACGAAACCTCAGTCTCACCGGGCTGTAAGAGAAGCTATGATTCCAGGTACCAACCGACTGAGACTGAAAGGTGTTTCAGCACTGCCCATGATTTATACGCCCAACTTATTTTACGGCTCTTGTTTAGTTTCGGCTTTGATGTGGTGTGGCTTGGCGCCTTCAATGAGCTGTGTCTGCACATATTTCTCAATCATTCCGACTTTTCAAATTAGAGTTTTTACGACGCTTGTTTGTTGCTGTTGCTGTGGAGGGAATGTCTACTGCTTTTATTACCATAAATTCTCTCTCATTTTTGCCAGAACCACCAAGCCCGCCATCGCCTTTTACAATAACGTTTCATTGTTTTAGCCGCCGCCGTATTAACAATTTGTCGAGCGAAATTTAGCAGCTGCAGTATAGAATCAATGCATGGTAAATAATTACTTGCTGGATAAGCATGACTTTCTTGCTCAGCTGCATTAACTGCGCACTGAAGAAAATTAAAATGGGGTCCATAAATTATAAATAAAAATATTTGTGTTTAAAAATGAGGCAAGAGCTAACAGTTAAAAAATGAATGACCCATTTATATATATTTTATTAATTTCCAACTTGGCAAAAGCTAGGTTTCTTTTGAATTTTCTGGAAAAGATACCTTTGGCTTTACGACTCATTTTGTTGCACTGCATCTGCTGATTACTTTGGTTTAGCAGATGTGACACGCCCCCAACTGATGTCGCCCGATCCAGCTGGCGCTGCTTTGTTTGCCCGCATTAACTGAGTGGACATCCCGCCCAATGGACATCCACAGATGTCCTGGCTCAGGGGAGCTGCTAAAAATTGCCACTACCCACTGATGATGTCCCAGGCGATGCGGCGAGGTCCCTTTCCCATATGAAGGCAGCAGGGCAGCATCTGCTGGTGCAGCACTTTTTCCGCTTTGAGCCAAACACTCACTTTGATCATTTTTCATTTCCAAAGCGACACATGAGCTCCGCAACCCAGGCCATCCAGCAGGATGTCTGCAGCCGGATTCCAGGAGACTGGCTGCCTGTGTGCGGGTGCTCGGGTGACAGCGTCGGACTTGCGTGATATTTTTATTAAGAAATATATCAAATGCACATAATGCACACATTCCCAGCTGGCATATATAACCCGCCAGGGACTTGGGAGCCAGCCAAATGACACTTTATTATTATTTTCATTGTTATGCGGGATTCTATTAAATTAAGCCCTATAAGCGATGATTGAGCGGCGCGCAGTCACCTCTTTGCCAGCCCAAATTCGAAACTCAGAGCTCAATTCAAATTGCAAATTTATTCATACGAGTCGCGGTTCACGTCAAGCGTTAAGTTAAGTTAAGTGACCTTTCGAATGCCTAACAAGCCGGGCTCCTCGTTCCGCTTGATCCTTTGTTGTTCACTGAATTTGCATAATCGCGTGAAGCGTATTTGTAAAATAAAAACGAGGCAACGTACATACAGCAAATGCCAGGAATTACACGTAAGGTGGGGACTTCGTGGAAGTCGTGGGTCAATGCGCAGAATTCGTGTGCTAAGCCATAGGCAGGCACTGTAAAAATGCCTCGCGTTGTCTTAAAAATATATAAAAAAAAGGTATAAAAAAAAAAAATAAAGGTATAAAGGGTATAAAAAAACAATGAGTATTTTTTAACTTTCTTAGCTTTCCTATCAAAATTTCCTATCCCATCTAACATTGATAAATGTGTAGTAATTTTACGGCTGGGTTCTAAAAATTAGAAATATGCCAATAGCAATAATTTATTATAATATACCAATTTTAATGCGAAAATAATTTGATGTGCAATCGTGCGGCTTTGGAGGTGGCGGCGCAGGCTGAGAGTGCCTCTGAATAATTTGCATTTAACATGCGCGACATGAAAACCAAATAAACAATTTGAGCCCCTCCCCCTTCAGGCCGAGGGGCAATTTGTCAGCTGCTAACTGGTGGCCAGAAAGTGCGCCTGTTTCCTTCTGGTGATTTGTTGCACTCGTTTTTCATTTGACTAAATGCTGTAAATGATGCGACTCGGTATGTGGAGCGTCACGTTTTATGTCCACTGTCCACACTGCGTATACGTAATCTAGCTAAGCTGGAAGAACCTTCGCCTCGCCCGCTAGTTATGAGTTGTGAGTTATGGCCAATGCAGTGGGTGTATAAAAAAACAAATTATCATAATTTAGTTGGCAGCAGGACAAGCTGTCCGATCTGTCCGAAGCCAGTAAGTTGTGAAACTTTTGTGCACAAGAAAATGTATTGATAGGGCCACAGCTGAAAGTCAATAAGGCGGCGGAAAACTTTTCCCATCCAACCATCCAGCCGATGATCATCAGTTCTCGTAGCTACCGCTCTACGCACATATGATTGGACAGTTGGGATTGAGCGTAAACTTGATTAATATTAATGCCCTCGTGCCTGCCGCGAATAAATATATTAATAGCCGAAGTAATAAGCACAGGCTTTTAAAAAAAAATACCTAAAGACATATTTAGGCAAAAACATACCCCTTTGATACTTTTTTCCTCCGATTGCCGAACTAAATTCCATCTTAATTCAAGAAATTATACAAGAAAAAGTCGTTGCCGCGAGTGTATAATCATAATACAGAAACAGCGACATGCAATATCAATAAACCCAATGGCAGACTCCCTTTTATGATTTATTGTGTTTGGTCAGTGGACGTGGTCCGAGCAATTTCACCTTGGCTGCCATCATTCTCGTGCTCCATTAAATCTTTGGCGACACATTCAATGAGCCCCATAACGTGTGCCCTAATACCTTGTCACCCTCTGCGCCCGCTGCTGCTCCTGCTCCTGCTCCTGCCAATATCCTTTGTTTATAAATGTTCTAATGGATGGCAAATTATTATTTTTCCTTTTTGGCGTTTGTGCATGTCGAAGCTGCTTCCTTGACGCTGTTCGAGTGATATATTGATGGGACTACACACACACTGGCCGGAGAGTCCTTCTGGCCAACATTCATATCGGCGGTCAGGCGTAGTAAGCCCGCTGGACTGGGGTATGTGGCCAATTTATGGTTAGGGCCACTGGTCAAAGGATAATAGCCGCACACTGTTCTCGGCCGGATTGCCTTGGGGTCACAGGCCGCCTGGAATCGTCGTGTACTCCTTGTTGACCCGCTCGAATTGTTTGCTCAAGATCAAATGGCTTGTATGCGGGCCCATGTTTACTGGATTCTCGGTACCCCGACATGGAGAGGTCTGCGTCCAAACTGAGGAGGAAAAGTTCAAGGCTCCTTAC